AGAGTGTTTGAAAGTTAACATTTTTTAAAAGTTAACTTTTTAAAAAGAACCAATTTATGACGACGAAAATCCAAACTTCAGCTCACGTTGCAACATGCTACTGTTTATTATGTTTCATGGATTTAAACTAGAGACTTTTCTTAGGAATTTAGCTGCATTGCCAGTTGTGGATCGAATTGTGTCCCTCAAAGCTGCGTCAGCTGGCTGGGGCCTGAGGGTTCCTCAGTGGTTTGGCGGTTGTGCAGTGACATATGTGACAGGTGCGTGATGATGTCTCCCCGCATGATCTGATGTGAGGAGCCCAGAGCCAATGTAATGGGATTAAGATGGATTAACATTCTCGTTCAGCTCATAGCCTGATCCAGTGGAGAGGTATTTCTGAGGTGTGGCCTACTTCACCTTCTGTCTTATCTGGGATAAACAGAAGAGAAGGGGGAAACTCTCCCCTCCAAGCTCTCAAGAGCTGGGAGCTGTTTGTCCTTTGGATCTGGGGACCCTGCCCTGAGGACCTCCTAGACCTGGGCAAGACTGATGCCCAGACATGGGTCTGTCAGGAATGGCTGTTCCAGGGGGGGGCTCTAGCAGCTTCGCCCAGGGCTGACAGGAGAACCTTATAGAGCTGACACCCTGAGTACTTGTGACCTAGGCGGGGTGAGGATAAATGTGTTTATTAGAGCCATCCCTGCAGTATTTCTGCTGTGGTCTCTCCGGAGAACTGGGACACAAGCAGATATGTATGCCTCAGTTCATGGAACTGTGAGTTCTGAAGAACTCGTTCTGTATCTCCCTTGCACCGGCCACTCCTGGCCTCTGTATCTAATCTGCGTGTTCAGCGTGAAGCCACACCCTCAGCACCCCGTCCACTGTCTTCAGCCTCCTCCAGCTGTCGGAAGAGGGCCAGGGCCTCCGATTGGCAGCAGGGACAGTGCATTTAGTGACCACCCTGGCTGCTTGGTTTCTCTGATGAGATTATGATTGTGGCTCTGGAGTGAAAAGCCCTGGGGAGTGTTGTGTCTGGGGAGGTGGATAAGAGCGCTGTTTAACAGGTGACTATGAGCAGATGATGAATTTCCACTTGAATGAGTGGCCTGCTTCAGTGCCCCCAACCTGGGGGACTTGGGGTTTTGACCTGTAGGACGCCCGTTGCCACGGGGGTCTGAATGCCATCACAGTTATCATAGAATGACTTAATGTGGCAGGTGTGTAATGATGTCATCCCTGTGTGTTCTGATGTAAGCAGCTGGGGACCAGTGGACTGTCCAGTGTTTCTGGGAGGACCGGACAGGCCTTCCTGCAGTTTTTAGGCTCGTCTCTCTGTGTCCATCCCTGCAGCAGCTGTGTGTGGTGTAGAGTGCTGTGCCTTCCGGATCCAGGCACTTTTGATTTTTTTTACAAACTGGTAGCTATTTGCACACAATCTCCCACAGGGAGTAGCTCTGGTGGTGCTGTGGCTGAAGTGCATGACAGCTAGCTGAGAATCTGGAAGTGCAGCCCCATCGGCTGCCCTGAGTTAGAAGACAAGGCTGTCTGCTTACAAGGAGAAGGGAGGGCAGCCTTGGAAACCCGGAGGGTCAGAATCGGCTTGAGGGGCAGTGGGTCCAGGGCAGCAGTCTCAGCACAGCTGTGGATCGCTTTACCGTGACCCTCTCTGTGACCTGCCAGCACCCTACACAAACAGCTTCCGTACCTGGAATTCGTGCTGTTTACTGTCCAGAGCTGGTTAAGTAAAGATACGTATGTGGATACACCTGTATAGATAAAGGGAGCTCTGGTGGCCTAGTGTGTAAATTGCACTGCATTTCAAATCCACCGGCTGCTCCTCAGGAAAGACGGGGCTCCTCCTCCTGCGTGATTTACGGTATCGGAAAACCTGCTGCAGGATCAGCTCGAAGGTGGTTCGGACTTGACAGCACGTAGCAACACCACAGCGCTGTGTATGGGGAGTTGTTATGTGTAGGTGGGGCTCTGGAGGCAGTCTGCATGCTTCTAGGGGACAGCTGGTGTGCTCAAACAGCTGACCAGTCTGTTAGCAGTCAAATGCTTTTAACCACTGCACCACTCAGGTTCCATCACTGACTGCTAGAGAGAGCTGTTACCCATGCCTACACCTCTGACAGGGTAGTGGGGGTCAGTGAACCCCTGCTGTCTTCAGCTCCCCAGGGAAAAGCCAGTTCCAACCTCTCCCGTATTTACCCACCTTTGAATCATCAGGCCGCATTTTTCCGGTTCCTGGCCATCTTTGAGATTCCTGCATCTCCTCTGTTTAATACACTGTGGTTCAACAAAGCCCCTTTTCTCAGTATTATTTCCTCAAAACAGAGTTGTTTCCAAAACAGCGAGGCGCTGAGCTGGGCTCAGCTGAGCTCCTTTCTCAGACGCAGGATTGTTTGGTGAACAGTTTGAGGCCTTTAGCACCTCCCTTCTCACTGGCGCCAATTTTCAAGCCTGTAACACCACGGTGAACCATCTGGTAATCCTGAAGACCGCCCAATGCGCCTTTCCAGGAATTTACAAGTGAGCAGGCTTGCGTACAGGCCTGGGGGGACTTGAAATGACACCTAGTTTTGAAACTTTTATCATATGATGTGCAGTTTGGTGACTACTTCAGATTGCGAGGTAGATGTCGCCTCGGCCTCCGGTTACTCATGGGATAGGATGCGCCGGAAGGCCTCCTCCATGAGTCAGACGTGTAACACAAGGAGGGACCACGGCCACCGTCGGCACCGCTTCAACCAAACTCCAGTGGGAATTCTTCACCTTACCCACACAAACGGAAAACCTCGCGCTCTGTCGTTTCTGACTCCCGGTGACCCTCCATCTGGTCTAAGCTTATAATCTCAGCAGGATACTGCCCTCACAGCCATTGGTGGAGTTGAGCTGGCTTTTGGGTTGGTCCCTAGGGGTTACAGCAGGGCTCCACCACGTAACCATCAGGTCCCCCAGACTCTGACTGAGTTTTTGCAAGCAGGTCATCAGACCTTTCTTTCTAGGAGCCTCTGGGCCTTGGTTAGCCACCACGCGAGTGCAGCTGGGGCACCACGCAGGGCTCATTCGTTATCAATGACCACTGCTGGAGCGTGTGGTGCCCATGTTACGGGGCAGAACGGCTCCACGGAGTTGTCTGCCTTCCCAGCAGTGGGCCGTCAGGCCCTTAAAGAACTGCTGGTTCTTGCTGTAAATTCTCTCCACCTCCACCCGGGACCGCAGGGGTAGGGAGCTCTGCCCGTGCAGCCTGGATGTGGCTGGAGTAGGGGGCACCTGAGAAGACACGTGTTTGCAGGGAAGACACCTTCTCACAGGCACACGGGGTTTCACGTCTATACAATCAGTCACTCTGTTCGTCACCATGCCAATCCTTGAAGGCCTTTCCAAAGAGAATTTTTCTTAAGACTATCAAAAGTTCAGGGAGCTCTTGTGGTTTAGTGGTAAGAGATTGTGCTGGTAACTCAAAGGTGCATGGTTGGAATCCACCAGCTGATCCATGGGAGAAAGATGGGCAGTTCCCTCCTGTGCAGATTACAGCCTCTGAAAACCCACTGGAGGGTCAGCGAGACGTCAGTTCAGACTCAGTGGTTCACAACAAATAAAGGTCTACCCAGCTGTGACCCGGATTAGTGAGGTGGTCTATTCCCAGATGGTGAGGTTTGGAGGGTGTGGAGGAGACGAGTTGGGCTGTCCTCACTGCCATGAAGGGAAGTAAGTACAAGGCTCTCCTAATACCACCTTCTTGTTCTCTACAAAGTCCTCATTCAGAGAACGAACTCCGGGTTATAATGTGCACCATACGCAGCAAGCGTGAACTGTGCTTAGGAGCCGCCCGGCTGGTGTCTTCCACCCCCGACACGGCTGCTGGGGTATGGTGGTGTCTTCCTCTTTCAGATTCTGATACGAGAGGTGAATCCCTACCCGGGCCTCAGGGGCAGAAATGGGAACCTCCCATGGCTTCTCCTCATCCCCCCGCTGGGGACACGAAGGTCCCCGTGTAGAGGCCAGACCAGTGGGGACGCTGCTCAAGCCGGCAGGGGCCTGGCTGAGGGCACGCAGGCCACACGGAGACAACAAAGACACGTCGACAAATATAGAAGAGTTTATTTTAACAAAATTAGAACTCCCAAATACAGATGAAGTAACAGTACAAAAGGCTAACGACGAGTCCAACAGTTCACGTAACACCTAACACTTGGGATCCTTTTCACCACAAGGGTGAATTCTGCACAGAATGGGGTCTCCTGCTCTTGCCCGTGAGCGGCCTCCACTCTCAGCAGGACCTGGAGATGACTGCACCCAGAGGCCAGACAGCAGGCAGTTAGTTCAAGGCCTGGGAGGTGCCCGGGGCCTCCAACAGACCATACAGCTGTTCACATCTCCTGGCCTGCTCTTACTTGAGGGGGAAAAGCAGCACCAGTCATTTCATCGTTATTATCTTTTGTTAAAGCAGCAAATAATTCACATCCAGCCTGAGCCGCAAAGCACGGCCATGGCAAGACCTATGGCGGATGAAGGAGGCCACCAATGTGGCCGCAACCTGTCACCACGGCAGCAGAGGGACCTGCCTCACCTTACGGACCTGTCTCTAAACACGAGATGCCTAGAGGCTTATGTGACATCACATGGAACAGCAATTTTTGCATAAAACCCTGCTCTGCCCATTATGTGTGTATGGAACCTAAGAAACCAGTAAACCGATCTTTGGGGGCATTTTTAAGAGAAGGAAGCACGGCCCAGGATGGTCCCCAGGACTGCAATGGTGGGATTCCCCGTACCTGTGCTGCCCCGGGCACACCTGCAGCCCCAGGCGCCGTCTAACCGATGAGCCACAGCAAGGCACTTACCTAGTGCACTCGGGGGGGGGGAGGAGAAACTACCTCAGTAACATGCAAATGTTCAAAAAGTCAGACATTTCACGGCATCATGAGCCGCCTGTCCTCGCTGCACTCCGGACGCACGTCCTCTGCCATGTGTCCACACGCAGGCTGTCAGTGCAGTCCCAGGCCTGCGTGTCAGGCCCTGGCTCCAGAGGGCCCGCCGCTGGCCCGTGACCGTTGCCGGTCGTACCTCACAGACACGATGAGGAAGAGCAGGAGTGTCGCGCCCTGGATGGCGGCCAGGAGGAAGAAGTAGTAGTTCAGGTAACAGCCGTTGATGTTCCCTGGAGAGGGCAGGAGACAACCGGTCAGAGGCACTGAGACCAACGTGTCTGAGGTCGACCCAGCTCCACCAGGTCAGGGTGCCTCTTAACTGCAGCCAAATACACAGAATCTTGTTTCTACCCAGTGGTCTGCAGTGTCTCGGACACAGACTCCATGATTGACCCCGCAGACACTGGGGTCCACCTGGCATGCCGTCAGGTCACCTCAGCATGGGATCACAGGAGCCCACCGCCAACAACTATATCCTGACACCCAGTGGCCCCACAGGACAGAGAACAACCTGTCTGTTTCCAATGAGTCTTCTCGGAAGCAGTCTGTCTCACCTTTCTCCCGCAAAATTCCCTGTGGGCTCACATGCCAATCTTCCATTCCAGTGAGCACACAACCACTAAATCACCAGGACTCGAACCACCAATAGGTTGTAGCAAATGCAACAAGTGCAAAAAAAAGTAACTTCTAGTCCCACTTTTCTCTAGTAAAATAACCCAAATTCACTGCTGTCTAGATGGTCCCGACTCACAGCTGACCCTCCAGTGGGCCTCCGAGGCTGTAAATCACACGGGACACTGACCATCTAGTGTGGCTGGTACTTGGGAACTGCCAGAGGAACGTGGACTTTGGGTTACTAGTGCGCCTCCCTCCCTCCAAGTGAGGGTACTCTAAAATAGAACAGGAAAAAGCCCAAACCAGCCAAGTAACAAAGTCCTTCTACCTCCTAGATCCCTTTTCAAATCTGATCCTAATTCAATACATGATCCACAAGTGATTCTGCTTTACACCCCTGATGCCACCTGCTGGCATCTAGTGCAAGACAACAGCTTGTTCAGGTATTCCCTGTCTCACCTCTGCCCCACCAACAGATGCTTCCAGGAGAATGTCAGCAAGAACAAGACCAAGCTGAACAGAGAGAAAACAGTGGGGGTCTTGTCGGCACCAGGAGTTGACTGCCCAGCAGTCGCTGGCCAAGAAGGCCGCAGGAGACCTGACAGCCCAGTGCAGAGGGGACAGGAGTCCAGGCTGGTCTGCGTCAAGGCGACTGCATTTCCTCACACCAACTGGGGGACCTGAGAGGCTGTTTCCCATCTCCTGACTACTTCCCACCTACGTGACTGATAAGCAGCACTTACCGAAGTCTGTGTGGCTGCTCATCCAGCCGATGGCACGGACGGACACCAGGGCCAGGAGTCCAGAGCCCACGAAGGACCCGATGCCGGAGAAGAAGAAGAACAAGCCCATGATGGCGCTCTGCATGGACTTGGGGGCAGCTGAGTATGCGAACTCCAGGCCTGGGAGGAGAAGAGGGCAGAGGGAGAGGTGAGGTGAAGGGAGGTCGAGGTGAGAGAAGTGAGGCCCAGCTGCACCGAGACAAGCTCTCACACAGCTGTGAGCCGCTGTCGTCTCTCCGAAGCACTGACCAGTCAACCATGCTACACTGCTGGGGGCTCTGAGATTGACCCCAGGAAGAGGAGAAGGTCAGAGCATCAGGACCGCCCTGTATGCTCAAGCCAGGGACGTAAAACCACACGTTCATGCCCAGATCAGGCTCCATGCACGAACCTACACCACCACTACTACTTCCTCAGCACCATCGAGAGCTCAGAGCCCCAACAACTAGGCACAGAGGTCTGCAATCTGCTTAGCGGAGTCACCCCTGCCCAGCCCAGGGGCCTCCCCCATGCCAGACCACAGAGCCTGAGCAGCACTGACAAGTGAATACAGCACGGCCCAGACCTGTCTCCGACAGCCGCCTGCGGGCCTGGGCACTCACCGGCTATGCTGGCGAAGATCTCACTGATGCCAATGAGCACGTACTGCGGGAGCTGCCACCAGATGGGCAAGTCGGCTGCGTGGTACACCACGTTCCCGATGGTCTGGTTGATGGTCTTCTCCTTCACCAGATCCAGCCGTTTGCTCTCCAGGATGCCTAGGATTGGGGACAGGGTGGTTGGTCATCTACGCAGACCAGCATTAATGACATGAAGAACTGGGAAGTTTGCACAGTGTGGACAGGCCTCTGAACTCTGCCTGGAAGAAGACGGCCGACAGCAGAGTCTGCTGGTGCCCATGGGGTCTCTCATGGTTGTCTGTCACATTGGCATGGACAGAACCCAGCAGGAAGCCCTCCTCAGCTCACAGGGAAGGTGGCCTTGCAGTTGTTGTTAGGTGCCATCTAGTCGGTGACCCAGGCACAACAAACCCTGCCGTGTCCCCGCCATCCTCCCAGTCCCTGCTGGGCTCGAGCCCACCGCTCTGGCCTGTGTCAGCCCATCTGTGGAGGTTTTTACTCTGGCTGGCTCACCCTCCACTTCTTTAAGCACGAAGGCCTTTGAAGATGGTGTTAAAAGAGCCAAACCATAAACGGCACAAGAGACCATAGACACCTTTCCCCAGGTGGAGGGGCCTGCCTGGTATCCACTCGGCAGCTGGGTGTGCGGAGAGGCTGCCCAGACCCCCGGAAGACCAGTGAATGCCACGTTCATGGCCAGCTGAGGCTGCTGGGCGCTGACCCCGCTGGTTATGCCCCTGCTTCACTGACGTCTGCAGCGGGAGCCCCGCTTGTGACTCGGGTCTTGTGCTCACTGCCCACACACTGGTGCAGAAACGAGTCCTACAGAACACACAGAGCTGAAAAGGCCATCCTAACACAACCTCGCTTTAATGATGTGTGTGATCACGGGGAATCTGATCCTCTAAATGGTCCTCAGCTCCAGAATCCAGACTTCTGAAGCCTGAGGACTCATTTCCTTAAGTCTATGAAGCACTGTGCCAACACGCCGTCTCTGCTGACAGCAGACACAAAGCTCCAATCCCAGCTAAACCCTCCTCCCCGGGAAAATGTCCACCCATCTTCTCAGACAGATTCAAAGGCTTTAGCAGAACTCTGAAGCTGATTAAAGGACTTTGTGTTGCATGGTCAGCTCTGAGCATTAACCACCAACTGAAAACAGTTCATGGCTCAGTGGTCCACACGCAGACAGAACCGACCCTTGGCTGACCCTCTGGGTCTGAGGCCGTAATCGCTGAAGAGGCGATCACTCTTCTTCCTCCCATGGAGCCACTGGTGGGTTTGAAATGCCAGAGAGGCACAGCCTTTCAGTGAGCAGCACAACTCCCTCATCTCCGTGGAGGGTAACCCCCTCCAATTCAGCCTGAAAGATGCTCAGGGTGACTTTGAAAAGAACGGAGAGGCATCCTCAGAAAGAGACGCCAGAGGGGAGAGCTGGAAAATGCCCGTGGTAACCGGACACACTCTCTTATAAAGGACGTGCGTTCCTGACCACGCGAAGCCCCAGCGGGGACTCATCACCAGACAGATTCCAGCTGATCCCCAGCTGCTGGCCTCCGCCTGGGAGGGCAGGGAGCCGGACGCTGCCTCTTACCTGCAGCAAAGGCCGAGCACATGACGAAGAACATGCCCACGGCGATCCTCTTAAGGGAGGAGGGCAGCAGCCCGTTCCTTCGCAGAACGGGGTCCACCAGCTTGTCCTTCAGGGGGATCAGCAGAAGGATGAGCACGGCGTCGAACATGGTCAGCCAGGCCGCCGGGAACTGCGGGGGGAGGGCCAGTGAGACGCAGCCACTCAGCTCTGGGGGTTACGCGCTGTGAGCTCCGCCCACTAAGGGCCCCAAACCACCGGCTCCGTGACCCCGCAGGACAGAGGACCACTGTCCCAAGGGGCTTCCAAGGCTGTGACGCTCGAGAGCAGCAGATGCCCTCAACTCTCTCCTGTGGGGCAGCTGGGGGATTGAACTATAGCCCTTTTAGTTAACAGCAACGTGCGTTAAGTCGCTGGGCTACCAGAGCTTAGTGCACAGAACGCAACCTCCAGTGGGCGGAGAGATCTACACACATAACACCCGACAGAACCCTCTCCACTTCAAGCAGACAGTGCAACAAGAGAAGACTTTCACTTCTAACTAGGTTTGCGTTTGTCCTGTGCTTTGTTAAGTGGAGTGGCATTGCCTGAGTGCGTCCCCACTCATGGGACCCTCCTTCGGTTGCCAAGGCTGTAAATCCTTACAGGAGGAGAATGCCCATCTTTCTCTGGAGGAGTGGCTCGGGGAGCTGATCTACCAGCCTTCTGGGCATGAGGCCACCAGGGCTCCTTTCTGTGATTTACAGGGGTGAAAGGAGCTGGTGAAAACACGACTGTTTATTAGACAAGCTAAAATGAAAAATACCTACAAATGGCAGAGGAAGCCCTTCGCTGCCTAAAGCCCAAAGGACGTGGACCCTCTGTGGGCCGCTCACCGTGTGGGGGGTGGTGGTGATACTGGAGATCTCGGGGATCTTGAGGTGTAGACTCTGCAGGACGTACGTGGTCTGCATCTGGGTGTGAAAAGCACCATCGTTACACGGGCAGGAAGCACCCCCAGGGCAGGTGCTGGGCACGTCAGTCTACAGGAAGGGCCCCTCCGTGAGACGCTAAAGGAGGCCTGCCCACTGAGAGGCACCGCAGTTCTGAGCTTCTCTGCTTTGGCAAAGTTTTCCAAATACATAAAGCAGTCAGGATGAGTTCGTAACGGAAACAAAATCCCAAGGTCCTTGAGGCTTGTCTGGGGACATTGCCAGAGCCCTACGTGTCCAGCGGTGGCCACGGCAACACTGGTAGCGTTCTGCAGGGGGGAGAGGAAATGGAATCGGCTGGCCACCACTCACTTGAAAATACACCGTCCAGTATGGTATCAGAGCCAAGAAGACGGGGATAATCTTGACGAGAGCTTTCACGTCTTCCACTTTGTCTTCCGGGAACGGCCCTCCTCGAGACATCTTACATGAATCAAACAGACTGTGTTTAGAAGATGGCTGAGGGACGCCAATGCCTTCACTTTGGGAAACAAAATGAAGGAGTTAGTTATCTTCCACCCTCCCCAGAAAGCAACCATTTGGTAACAAAACCCAGGGCGGAGAGCTCACCACACGGCACTATATCTGCTTGCTAACACTACACCCCAAGTGCACGGCTGCCAGGTCTGAGGACCCGCTGGGAAGGAGGGAGGGGCACGGCTGACCTCAGGCTGAGCATCCCTGCAGGCAGTTCTGACCCACTAGCTGGTCCTCGGGAGGAAGGCCAGTCCAGCCTGTTCCCATTTACAGCCTCAGAAACCTGACGGACAATCACCATGAGTCACAATCGACTTGATGGCAGTGGGGCCTCCAAGGGGCTCAAGACATTCTAGAAAATTCCATGGTTTCACTGAGTGGTGATTACACTGACTGGGGCTGTTTGGATGAACTGGAGCGCTGGAAAGGCTCACTCTTACTATGTGTTTTTCTGACATCCTGGGATAGTTCTGGACTTTTTTCTCCTAAGGTAAAAAAAGTTAAGATTTATTAAAAGATACATTCCAAAGATGAGGCAGACCTTCCACCTTGGAAGGGAAATGTGGAGACGACCTGGAATTTTTTTTTTTTTAATTAATCTGCATCAAGGGTAAGCAGCTGTCACAGACTTCCCAGGACCAAGGGGCTTTCAAGTTATGGGACGTTCAAGGCTGAAGCAGGGAGTCCTGTAAACCAGCATGAGCCCCACCTGGGTCTTAACGTAGGGCACCTCTTTGCTCAGGAGAGGTCAGAGTGACAGGACAGTGGCAATCATGCGGCCTTGTCATCAACCAGCTCACCAGCAGAGGCAGCACTACGACCCTGGATAAATGCACGTGTGCACACACACACGGTATGGAGATGCACGGATCTCGTGAGTTCCGGCGCCACTATGTCCTCCTGATTCCCATCTTTGTCATCTGCCTCTGAGAAGCTGCAAGCTTCCTCTTTAGAAGTTGGGTGTAGAGGTTGTGCCACTGGCCTCTCCTCACAATGGGGTTAACACCATGCACTGTGTGTGTGGGGTGTGTGCAAAATCTCCCAGGACAGTGGGAGGGCTCAGGGAGAGGACACTGCTAACCACTTGTACGGTAGCTGTAGTCAGTACAGGACAGAGGTCAAACCCACTGCCACACTGCCATCAAGTGGATTTCAACTCAGAGTGGCGCTGAAGGGAAGAGCAGCCCTGCCCTGTAAGGTCTCCCAGGGTGCCTTTAACTGAGATGCAGCAGAGAAGACTGGCATCGCAGGGCTGCTAAAGAACTAAACTGTGTCAAAGTGCATCCAGGCTGCTGCGACTTCACTTCACCTACTTTGGCCATGTTGTAAGGTAGGGGCCAGTCCTTGAACCATCATGCTCGGAAAGGTAGAGGGTCGGATAAAGAGAAGTTGCCCCTTAAGGAGATGTCCTGACATAGTGGCTGTGGCAACGGGCTTGAGCACACGTGTGCTCTTGGCAATGGCACAGGCTACGGGAAGGCTTTGCTCTGTTCTTACAGGGTCATAATGAGCTGCAACCGACTCCATCAATCATCTCTACCAAGGCAGTCGGCCTCATCTTTCTCCGGTGGAACAGCTGGAGTGTTTGAACTGCCAGACTAACACTTGACCCCTGCGTCGCCAGGCCCCCTTGTCCGTGACTGCTAAGTCCCTCTAAGTGAGCCATGGCCACCTGACGTGGTGAGCCTGCAGGACGTACCCGCTGCTCCGGCGCTTTGCCATCTGCGGCTGCGGACAGCACGAGTAGGCCAGGATCCTGGCCACGTCGGTGAAGGCGCTGCCATCGGGGGGTTTGGTGATGAAGAAGCTCTGGCCACACAGGAAGACCACGAAAGCCACTCCAATGCACACGGTGGGGATGACGTAGCCCACGACGAAGCTGATGTTCTGCTGGATGTATGCAATGCCGCCCAGCGAGACAATGGCGCCCAGGTTAATGCTCCAATAAAACCAATTGAAGAAGCGCCGTGTGGCTTCAGGGCCTCGGTCTTTAACCTGAGAGGGGGAGGAGGAAGAGGAGACGTGAAAACCAAGCCAGCACGAGTAAATAAGTGATGAGAGTAACGGCTGTCATTGCACCTCCGAGAAGTGCTGCAGACACAGTCACAGGCCTCCCACAGCACTCCACTTGCCTAATCACCACGGATCCTAGAAGTGTTTCTCCTAATTGTGCTTAATTAGAGGCAGAGCTCCAGACTGGCCCATTTGGGCTCCTGAGAGGGAACGTGCTGAGTGGTGCTCCCCTGTGACAGGACAAGTAGCTGACCAAACTTGCAGCCATCCTACACGACAGGACCGAACGGCATCAGGGGGTCTCCGAGGCTGCCTTCGCCCTCTGGCAGAGCAGGTGGTGGGTTTGAACTGCTGGTCTTTCAGTTAGTGGTGGAGCACTTGAACCACCTAGCCACCAATACTCTTTCCTTTCTGATATGTTATTACTGTTATGTGCTGTCAACTCAAGTAACCGATCTGAACCCTGCCCTATTCTGTGCCATCCTCATCATTGCCGACACACCCAAGCCCACTGCTCCGGTCACTGCGCCAGTTCATCTGGCTGAGGGCCTTCCTCTTTTGCTGACCCTCTACCTTTCCAAGCATGATGTCCTTCTCCAAGGAATAGCTTCTCCAAGCAACGGATGTTATGCATGTGAGAGCTGGACAGTGAATAAGGATGGCAGCAGAGAACTGACGCCTCTGAGCTGTGGTGTAGAAGAGCACTGGACATCCCCATGGATAGCCAGAACAAATACACATCTTGGAGAGGGTGCAGCCAGAGTGCTCTTTGGAGGCAAGAATGATGAGGCTTCACCTCACATACTTGGGGCTTGTTGGAAAGGGTCATGATGCTGGGAAGGGTGGAGGGCTGGTGAAGGAGAGGAAGACCGTCAATCAGGTGGACTGACATGGTGACTACTGCAACGGGCGCTTGTGTATTGAGAGGTGTGAAGATGGCACAGGATACAACAGGGTTCAGATCATTTGTTCATAGGGTTGCTGTGAATCACACTCGACTCGATGGCACATAGCAGTAATATGAACAAAATATGTGAGAGAAAATAAAAGCCTCATCATCCTTGCCGCCAAGGAGCGCTCACTCTAGCTGCACACTCTCCAAGACTTAGCTTTTCACTCCTGGTCCAGGAAAACACGTCCAAAGCATGAGAATCAGTCTCACCACCTTCACTTCCAAGGAGCATTCTGGCTACTTCTTCAGAAGTCGATTTGTTTCTTCTTGCCCAACTCTAACCTTAAATCCATTTGAGCTCATTTCCTGTTGTCTACTCATGGCTCAGTGAAACTTTCAACACTGGTCCACCACAAGGGCAAAGGGAAGTTGCCTGCCAAGGCTTCACGTAACCACAAGCCTGTGATTTTTCTGTAGCAGATGAGAGAGAGAGGCTGCCCCGTAAACATCGTCACATGCTTCCAGCCCCAGGCTGGCAAAGCCACACGCTCAGTTAACACTGGTCATGTTACATCACTGCTCGGGCAGCTGCCTCATCCCACACCCAGGAGGGACAAGCGTCCTTTGTGTCTGATCAGAAGATGCCACGGGGCACCGGCTTGGGAAGGAAAGCTAAAAGAAGCCCACTGTGCAGAGTGTAGCAGGAGGGCTAATGTGGGGAAATTCCTTACAGCACACAAGTCTGCAAATATGCCCCGTTAAAAACATGTCACTAGCTCGCTCTATCTGCAAATGAGAAGGTGCTCTGGTGGCACAGTGATTAAGTGCTCAGTACCCAAGGGTCGGTCATTTGAACCAGGAAGCTGCAAGGAAGAGAGGTCAGCTGCTTCCAGAGCAAAGACTACACCAAGCTACACTCTGACTCTGAACAGATGCCAACTCATCGTGACCCTCCATGGGGCTCCAAGGCTATTATTAACTCATCACAAGACTGCCTCATCTTTTTATTGTGGAATAGCTGGTGGATTTGATTCAACAACCTTCTCGTTAGCTGCCCAACATGTTCTACACTATGCCAGCAGTTTACAGCCTATGGAGAGACCATAGGGAGGAGTCCTAGTCCCTCCGACAGGGTTGCCGTGACTGGGAACTGACTTGATGGCAATGGGTTGGTTTGCTTGTTTTTTTAATCTGCTAGAGAATATCAAGAAGACAAAGATTCTCACCACTGGACCAATTGGCAGCATCAGGATGGATGGTGAAGAGATTGAGATTGCGCACAGCTCTAGGCTGCTTCGCTCCACAGTCAACAATCTTGGCACCAGCAGCCAGGAAATTAAAAGACGTATTGCGATGGGATAGTCTGCTGTTAGGGACCTCTCCAAAGTACTGAAGAGCAATGGTGTCTCTCTGGAGACTAAGGTGCATCGGATACAGGCCATGGTCTTTGCAATCATTTGCTATGCATCAGAGTTGGACAATGACTAGGGAGGATAGAAGAATTGATGCCTTTGAGCTGTGGTGCTGGAGAAGAGTATTGAATGTACCATGGACTGCTAAAGAACAAACAGGTTCCTCCTGAAGAGGGAGAAACCAGGCTGCTCCTTGGAGGCAAGGATTCTGAGGCTTCGTCTAACATATTTTGGTCATGTTGTAAGGAGAGACCGGTCCTTGGAGAGAGACATCATGCTTGGGAGGGTGGAGTGCAGGCGCAGGAGGGGAAGGCCCTCTATGAGGTGGATTGATTCAGTTGGGGGTAATTGGGATGGGCATGTCAGAGACAGTGCGACTGGCACAGGACAGAGCAGAGTTTAGGGTTGTTGTACATAGGGTCGCTATGAGTCGCATGCGACTTGGCACATAACAACAACAATCTGCTAGACACATTTTCTTCTTCAGGTCACTGTCTGAAATACTGAACCCATTTAGAATGAATGATCTGCAGGCATTGGGCAGACAGAGATGAGCATGAGGTTGACACACTGTGTTACATCAAACTACAGTGCCCTCCTTTGTTTTTTGAACTGGCCCAGAGGTGCAGACAGCAAAGCAAGCCCAACCCTGTGACCAAGCTCCAGACACAAGTAGGTTTCTCCAAATAAGAAGGGGGGCTGACGAGGTACTCAGAGTGACACACCAGCCCTATTATGGAGTGACCTCGTGTGCACCACACATAGGTCCTGATGTTCACGAGACACGCTCACTTTATGGAGCAGTGCAAGCATGGGGGTCAGGGGTTGCCTTCCAACCCCCTGCAAAGTACGTGCCAGCACCTAGCTGGGCACACCCACTCTAGCAGAGGAGTTCAGCTTCCCCCAAGATCAGAGACTTCACCCACCTGACAATTCCCTGCTTCAAGCACACATTCCTGAGCGGAAGACCCACCAGCAATGCTTCCTTACTCCACCTCCCTAAATGATCCCAACACCAACTGCAGCAGTCCACGACCTGGTCTAGTCCAAGTCTCTCACCTGGTCCAGGACAGATGCCTTCAAAAACGGAAAACTCACTGTTGGCATGTCGGTTCTGACATACAGAGGTATTGCTTTCTGAGGCAGTAAACCACAATGGTAAGAGCTACTGGTGGATTTGAACCGCTGGAGCCCCAAAGCCCTTGGGTGAGCTGCACAGTCCATGGCTGGCTGGCTGACATTGGAGCTGCTGCCCTCACTTCCCACCGCTCTGGTGGTGTAGGAGGTCGTGTGAGGCTGTGGCTCACGTGGTGGTCCGCATCCATGGAGATTACAAGCTTAAGAGACTCTCAGGGCAGTACTAGCCTGCAGGGGCTGAGTCAGAATCAACTGGATGGCAGCTGAGTCTGGTATTCTGTGTATCAGATGCTGGCCAATTTTTTTTTTCCTCCCCCAAGTTCCCAATAGACTGGTTTGTAGCAAATACACCATTTAAATAGGCATTGCCATGGTCTTGTTCCCATAAAGCATTATTTATGGAGTTTGGAATTGGAATTTCACTGGAACTGTGTTATGAAATATTCTTGTGATTTCCCACCCTATTCAAAAGAACCCGTCGGAGCCATTCTTAGCTTGTGGGCCCCACAAAAACAGGAAGTACACCAGATTTGGCCCACAGGCCAGAGCTTGCATAACTGGAGCCCGCTTAGCTAAAGGCTCTCAAAAAAGGATCCGCTCTCTAAATGATTCGGGCAGTATGCAAAGCAGACTCGAAATCTTGACCCACTCTTCCCCAGGCCCCTGCCCAAGACCTCTCTTCCCTCGGAAGGGCTCAGGTCCTTTGCACTTGCTGAGCCCTACCTGGACAATCACTCTCCAGAAATAAAGATAAACGCAGCGCTTGGGTACCAGCTCGAAAGGCCCAAAGGAAGTCAGCTCTTCAGTCCTCAATGCCAGGACAGCTCCAAGGCTGGCTCTTCCCAGCACCCACCAGAGCTTAGGCAAGTTTTCTAAGTTTCCACTCCACTGTCAAAGGAGCAACGAGCACTCCTAGTTCTGCCCACCAACAAGCAGCCACTTGGGGTAGGCAATCTGCTGGCACGCACAGGGCAGTGGTGAGGGTTGTGGGGACCCGCGGGCGCTGATAACAGGGAAGCGATGGAGGGTGTGCGTACAGGAGGACTTGGCCAAGGAAAGCCACGGGGCGCAGGGGACCCTTGGGTGCTCAGTACAGGCGGGGCGCGGGGTGGGGGCAGGACCAGGCAGGTGGTAACCGGCGGCGCGGGGCGTGCCAGCTCACCTGGTCGGCGCCGAACGGCGTAATGTTGGCCTTGACGGTGCCCACGCCGAGCCCCACGACCACGAGCCCCACGAAGGTGGCGGGCGCGCAATAGCGCGCGGGGCCGTCGGGGCAGGTGGCGCTGCCGTTGGGGAAGGGCGCCGAGCAGTTGGCGATGCGCGCGGGGCGCAGGGGCCCGCAGAGCGCGGCGCGCGTGGAAGGCGCGGCCACCAGCGGGAAGGCCAGCATGCCCAGCAGGTACAGCGCCAGGCTGAGCACGATCGTGCCGGCCTTGCCGAGCAGCGCGTCGGCCAGCCAGCCGCCGAACGGCGACACGAGGTAGGTGACGCCCATGAAGAGCAGCAGCGCCTGGCTAGCCTGCGCGCCCTCCCAGCCGAACGGCGCGCCGTTCAGAAACAGCACCAGGTCGGCCGTCACGCCGTAGAAGGCGGCGCGCTCCAGCAGCTCCGTCAGCAGCACGGCGCCGCACGCCGCGTGCCGACCCGCGAACGCCGACGCCGCCCGCCGAGCGCCGGGGCCGCCCGTGCCCAGCAGCGGCGTCTGCTCCCCGGGGCCCGCCATGGTCGCCGTCCCTGGCCGGGCTTCCAGCGAGCCTGTGGCCACCGCCCTTATCGCGAGAACTCGCAGGCGCGTTCCCATTGGGCGGGCTCCCCATCGCTCAATCTGCCGGGAGCCTTCCGGTTCCGCCCCCGGAAGCCGGATGCGACCGCGGCGCTGCTTCCTGAAGAGAGGGAAGTGAGGGACTATCCCCGGCCGCCATGTTGTTTTCCCAATAAAGACGAAGTTAGAGAAATAGAAATCATTGGGCAGAACAGCCCCCTTTACGCTGTGAAATGGAATTCCTTCCTAGCCTAGACAATCACTTTCCTTCAATAAATCTTTTTTTTGTGCTTTTACGCACACTCCATGATGTTGCCCTACAGCATGGCATCATCGTATCTCCGGTGCCTTGGATGGTGCCTGGCAAGTGCTAAAGGGAAGAAGTGTCGCCCAAAAGCGGCCACCACTTGAGTGCAAGGATTACATTAGTGGAAGTGAGTAAAACCCGGTTTCCTTCCTCATCCCTTTGCAAGCTGAGCTCAGGAGGGGACCGTCCACCCGGGGCAGGGGGAGGCGAAGGTCACTCAGTCCTCCAGAGCGCACCCCCTTCCAGCTTAAAGGACCACGTCTTCTCTTGAAAAGTTTTAAAAATGCGAGTGATGGCTGAAGCCAGATAGGGTAGCGTTTAGTAAAGATTTAATGAGAAGGTACCTGAGGGCCAGAACGGACCGTCCCCACCTCGTCCTCAGTTCTCAGATGCCACCTTCCCGGTTTCCCCCCGTTTGCTTTTGCCCGCCCTGCGTGTGTTTTTAGTCTAATAGGACCTGTTACCATGAGTGATTATGTTGTAGGAATGTTTGATTCATAGCTGCTCGTCTGCCCCACGTCTGAAAGCCAGGAGCGCGGGGATCTTGTGGGTTTGCCCACCTCCCCTGTATTTTGCTCTCCTGGGATTCACAAGCATTGTGACTTTGATAAACTGAAGGTCTGCGTTAGCCCTACGTTGAGCACGTCTTGTTGGAACCATTGATGAACAGTGAGCCCCCCTGTCCCGTCTTAAACACATTTTGATCATTTTGTTTCCATAGCTCAGAGTTACTCACCCTACTGTGCATGCATCATCGACTGCATTGTAACCATAACTTCCAAACACACTCCAAAGGTGTGTAACTCACTTAATTGTGATGAAAGTTCGTTGCAGCGATTTGGAACCAACCCCACGATATCCCCAAGGTACACCTGCTTATGCAAATATTCTTAAAGAGTCCAGCATTGCACCTGCTGACACTAAATGTATGGAATTCACTGTGTAAATAAGCATTTGTTGGACTGTAAAAACGAACTGTTGGTGGAAGGAAGAACATCTTACATTCACGTGTCCCCCCCCCCCCCCCCCCCCCCCCCCCGCTTGGTAGGTAGAAGGAAGGACAAAGATCAATATCCTGATACCACTCGTGGAAAAAGCAAACCCCCATTAATTTTTTTAAAATTTTTATTATTTTTTTGCTTGTGTACCGTCAAATTAAAACAAGCTTGGCAGGAGGAGTGGCATCCACTTCCGAAATAACTTCCCCTGGAAACCCTATGAACCTGGAGAGAGGATGAGAGACACCCAAGCGTTGAGGACTCTCCTTCCTAGGGTCGCTATGAGTCTCCTGTGACTTGATGGCACTTGACAACAACAACAGTCAAATCAGATCTGACTGGTACAGGAGGAGAGTGTCCCTCCTTCTCCAGCAGAGCATCTGGTGGATTTGAACCACACCCATTAAAATTCTTGACCATAGTCACAGAAAGTGGGTAATGCGATTGAATCTCCGGTACAAGACTTGCACCTAAGCCCTAGCTCAGTACTTGGTCCACACGCTTCAGCTGATTGTTGAGACAGAAGCTTCAAGTTGATGTTCTCGCATTGAACAATAAGCATAGCAGAAAGCAGACACACTGGATTTGAGTCCCCTGTGATGAGTGCCCAGGACACATGACATTTTTACAGGATACTAAACTAACCTGTCTAGGCTTTCTTGTTAGAGATAAAAGAAAGTTACATAAGAATTGACAAAGGGGTATTGCAAAGGAGGGTAGCAGTCATACTGGTCAGTATTACTGGGGAATAAGATGTGATCCTGGTCCCCAGGAAGTTACCTGTACATTGTCATCTTTGGTAACTTGGGTTACCAAAGAAATTTAGTATGCAGAAATATTTTGCTCTTTTGCAGTGTTTTAACAAAACCAAGGCTACATACTATGTGGTTCCATTGATAGGAAATCTTCAGAATAGGCAAATCTGTAAAATAAGAAATAATAGTAGTTGTGCAGGGTTGTAGTGTTAGTAAAGAATACAAAATAGACTATGGCCTGCCAGAAGAGCAACAAACTTGTCTTAGAAGTACAACCAGAATGCAAGATTCCTCAGACGTTAACATGACAAGACTTTGTCTCACACACTTTAGACATGGGGTTTGTTTTGTTGGTGTGTTTTTTTTTCCTTTTTAGTTTAGACATGTTTTCAGTAGGGACTGGCTAGTCACTAGCAAAGGACACAATGACTGCTAAAATAGAAGCCTCAGTGAAGAAAGAGAAGAGCTACCACTAAATGGGTTGTTATGAAACTAACGTGTTAACGCCGAACAACAGAGTTAATAGGAGGAGCCCCTGGGTAGCATGGCAGAGATGGTTAAGCAATTAACCGAAAGGTTGATGGCTCAAACCTAGAAATAAGGCCTACCAATTACTTCTCTAAGATCTGTTCTAGTCTGTAACTGTGACTTCACCAGGTGTCAAGATTGATTCAGAAGTAACTAGCAATAACAGTAGTGGGGCTGGTGGGTAGGAAAAATGATGAGTAGTTGTATAATGGGTAATTATTCTTATGTGCTGTGGATTTGAGGATCACTTATATCAACTCTATGAACAACACATCTGAATTCTGTCCTGTCCTGTGCCCTCCTCACTCACTCTGACACACCTGAACCCATTGCTACAGTCACTGTGTCAATACATTTTTGTGAGGGTCTTCCTCTCCTCTGCTGATCCTCCACCTTTCTAGGCATGATGATCCCTTTTGAAGAAATAGCCCCTCCTAACAAAATGCCCGAAATATGTGATATGAAGCTTTGCTATCCTTGCCTCCAAAGAGCACTCTGGCTGCACTTTTTCCAAGGTAGACTTGTTTGTTCTTTTAGCATTCCATGATATACTTAGGACTCTTCTCAAACATCACAACAAAGGCATCTATTATTTTGTCATCCTTACTCATTGTCCAGTTCTCAGATGCATAGATGATTGGAAAGACCATACCTTCAGTTAGGCACCCTATTCTTCAAACTGACATAATTGCTTTTCAGTACTTTTGTTCCTGACAGCCAACTTGCCTAAAACTATACGTCTCCTGATCTTCTGACTGCTGGTACCAACGGTGTTGATTTTGGATCCAAGTAAAATGAAATTGTATACCGTTTGAATCCTTTATCTATCATGATGTTCCCTATTGGCCCAGAGTGGGTATTTTTGTTTTCTTGATGTTGAGATACAATCCATATTGAAGGCTGTAGTTCTTGATCTTTTCCAACAAGTGCTTCAAGTTCTCTCTGCATAATGCAGGTTGTTTTGATGAGTTGTCTTCTGGTTCTTTCCTTCTTTTTCATAGACTCTGGCTCCATTAATTATTTGCTCGGCATACAGATTGAATAAATATGGACAAAGGGTCCATCTCAATGCACATCCTTCGTGATTTTGAACCATGCCATATTCCCATGCTCCATTTGGACAAGTTCTTTGTCCAAGTATAAATTTAATCTGAGCATAGTTAAGTGTTCTGGAATTCCCTTTCTTTTAATGTTGGCCATAGTTTGTTTTTTATCTACTTACCTTAATGTGTACAGGGGTTTTTTTGGGGGGTGATGAAAATGTTCTCAAATTAATTGTGGTCCTGAATTATTGCACATCTACAAATACACTGAAACCATTGAATTGTTCAGTTTAACTGAATAAACGTCATGGTATAAGAGTCATCTCAAAAAAAGATGCCATCATATAAGCAAATGAGCCCATGCTGAGAAGTTGAGAGGTGTCAAGTATAAAATCAAATGCTTTCCTGCTTTTGGAAAAAACAAAAAATTAGAAACTGTCACCTATGACCCTGAAGTTGTTTTGCCACCAGGAGCCCATCGTCCTGGTAATCAGGCCTTTCTGTAGACTTAGAGGTCCTAGCCCACCAGGCTGTTCTCATGACCAACAGAATAGAGGTCTTAAACAGCTCTATAAGAAGTTCAGCTCATTTCCTGGGGTGATCAGAGGTTAAGACCATGTGTGGAGGGAGCTTCTAAGACTATATGTATAGAGAGACCATGGTGTCCTCACATCCATCCACGCACATTACCACCAGACAGACCAGTAGAACAGCTTCCCAGCTGAGCCCCAGCCCAAGGTGCAGAATCAGTGCAGGCCAGTTGTCATTCTGTTTTAATTAGTGGTTATTGTAACCCAGTCAGTTCTGGGCAGCCTGTCATTCAGCATCAGATCACAGGAACATGTGTGTCCTGTGACTAAAGTGGGCTGGCAGCAGTAGCAGCCACTCCCTTTAGACAGGTGCACATTTTCTTGTATACCTGTCTCCACTACTCCCTGCTGTTAAGTTTTTCTTATTACCCAAGCTCACTACTGTTTAGTTGGTTCCAACTCATGGTGACCCCATAATACAGAGTAGAGCTGCCCCATAGGATTTCCAAGGCTGTGATCATTATACAAACTGTCAAATCTTTCTCTTTCTTGGAGAGCAACTAGTAGGTTTGCATTGCTGATCTTAGGATTAGCAACCAAGCTCTTTTTTTATTTTCCTTCTATAGAGAAATCATTCTCTAGATGTTTGCAGCTCAGCACAATAGCCACGAGCCATGTGCAGCTGTTCAGTAAATGAGAAATTCTGTTTGTCAGCCACACTAGCTACTGGTAGCAGTATTGATCATGTCCATCTTCCACAAAGTTCTGTTGGACAGCCCAGCTCTGTATGAATGCATAAT